GTCATTATGGGGTACTGAGTGTAGATTAATGAGAAAAAAATGAATTTGAATGATTGTAGTAGCAGGCTGCAACATAACAAAATTGAAAGAAATGAAGGGGGTCTGAATACTTTTCGAATGCACTGTACATCTGCAAAAGCACACTACTCTTTTGATAAAGAGTGTTTTTGCAAGTACATTCAAGAAGGGCTATCCCATTAGGGCATTATCCAATATGGAGAGACAGAATAATGTTTACTCCAGTGCATGGCCTGGGTTTGATTAGAATATTGTTAATACAGATAACCTAGGAAAAGTATAGAAGCAACAACCATTCATTATATAGCAAACCAGCAGAATCTACAATACATGCAATCTTATATGCAAAGATCATTACTGCTGAATTAATGAAGCTGCCAGAAGCACAGCACAGCTGCAAAACTTCCTAGAGTTCAGCAATTCTACAAATAACCCCAAAGGCTAACAAATTATTTGAAGCAGCAACTTTTAAAAAAAGTTCTTTATGATTCACATGGTGAAGATGAGATTGTGACTGCTCTATAGCAATCCAGGCAGACAAGCAGATGTTTGAGACAAAAAGATAATCATTCTGTAGCTAAGAGGTGGGATGCTACAAGTAAGAACTGTTTAACTACTAGACAAAGATTAGCTGTAGTGCATTAACAAGTCTAGCATTTTATTATAAACAAATTGGATAATATCAAGCAAAACAGCTGTTCATTAAAGCCTGTTATCCTCACCATGTTCCATTTTTTAAAGACAGACAATGCCATCTATAAAGGACATTATATAATAACTGCACTCTGATCCTTTATGGTATATTCTGTTATGACAAGCTGTTTTTTGAAAAATTGCTATGAAAATTCATAATCACTTCCTACATTATCTTTCAAGATGTGATCAAGTACAGATGCCATAGCTTCAAAATCAGCCAGTCTGTTTTCCTCCCATCCCTCTCCCATCTTATTTTGTTACTAGCTAGTCAATTAAGTATTCTGGACAACTTAAAAACTTGCACATATTTTTGTGAAATAATTCTATTCTAATTCTATTCATACAGCCCATTACAGTTGCCATTGGTTTTTGTTTAGATTATTACTTTTAAAATGCCTGTAGCACATTCCCATTCTGGGATTCAAATGTGTACAGTAGTATACACTTCGTTCAATTTGTTATCTACCAACTCATACTCATTAATTCCTATTATCCTTCATGCCTTGGTCCAAATAAACTTTGAGTAGCTATATCTATTTAGAACAAGTTTCAGCATAATATTTTAAAAATCACACTTTTCTGTGTAAGAACATCAGGCTTATAGTTATAACTACATTTTGGTGGAAAATGCTGCTAGAATTTGGCCTAGCCCTAATTGTTTTCACCAGGATAAATTCAGATTTTGAATTTACCGGCCCAGATAATCACCAGGAGTTAAACTCAAAGCAAGGGAGTCTTTGCCTTTTATATGCTTTCAGAATTTGTTCACTTTAGATTCTGCCAATTACCAATTTGATTTGCAGCTACATCAGGTTATAATAAAATTTTAATGTATTATACACATGGAAAAAAGTTATAAAAAATCTGAAGTGTTTTAAAATCCATGAGAGTCTTCTGTCATAGTTGAATGCTATGGATAACTTTAATTGCAAATCATATAATCTTATAGAAGGACTACTAGCAATTATTTGTTTCCTATTAGCCCTCTTTACATGTATCTTAATAAGGGTACATAACTATTTTGGGAGACAATATCTAACCTTTCTCACATTACTTTGGACATATCTTTTTAGAAACATTCAAGAAAACTAACACTGTTGTGTATTTCAGAGCCAAATTGTTTTTTCATTCATTCCAAATATAACACAAAAGTGATAACACAAAGGAAAAAAGGTAAACCATTCAGCAGCTAAAACAATTTCTAGCAGCATTCCACATCTTGCAGAAAAGGTTTATGATTCATTATTTACCAGATTTTTTAAATAAAGTGCATGACCCAAAGGGACTTGGCAGATCTTACTTCCAAGCCTCTCCAAAGTTATCAGTGTAGTGTTATGCAAAATAAAGTTACCTACAGTACTGTACAAAAGTTTAAGGCGGGTGTGAAAAAATGGTGTAAAGTAAGAATGTTTTCAAAAATATATATTGTAATTGTTTATGTTTATCA